TTTCAGGGCACTATCACTAATATTCTGGAAGAGAACGTTCTTCAACCACTGCTTGTGTCAACCAGTGCCATTCAGTTGGCCTCCGAGACTGTCCGTAGTATTCTGAAGATCGATGACATCGTAAGTACAAGCACACCCTCCCCCTGTCCCCCCTTCCCTACCCCCCTCTAGAAGCATACACTCACTTTTTGACTTGGATAGGGAGTGCTCTAACCCAGCAGTAGTAGCAAACTACTATACAGTCAATAAATGCCTTATCTGTCGTTGATCGTGAGTTATGGGCAAACTTCTTACTGTTTTATTAAGTTTTAAAGTTTCTCAAACTAGAACCAATCTTTTCTTTTCTGTACTAGAACAACTTAGTTATGTGATTTTCTTTTACAGGTTAATACAAGATGAATCTTGGAGGAAAGCTGACTTTGGTCAGAAGACCTTCCTGTCGCCCGTCACCACAGACTGTTGTCACAGAGTGTATGTTTTAGCACGTGAACCTTGCAACTTAGCAGTCGAAGAGCAAGCTTTATTTTAGAACTTACGAGCTGTTCTGCGAGATATCAACATTTTACTGTTATGGTTGCTTTGCGATAATCGAAAGGAGAAATATGGACACTGTTTAATTTCATGACAAATGTGTATCTTAAAGACTATTAAAACAAGTGTTAGGCACTAAGAAGAATGTAACTTATTGGTGATAGCGTATCACTCCTGCCTCTGAACAAAACTCAGCTGGAAAGAAGTCCAGAGGAGCATAGAGCTCCCTACACATAAGGGATCGTGTTGCATTGACATGTCGCAGCAACATGCAGCAGCGGCGAAATCCTGTACTGTTCACACGGTGGGAATGGGGCGGAGGGGGGGCGGGGATAGCATCTGTGCAAAATTTTGTCCAGTTATATCCTATTCTCTCAAAAACTCGACACACACCGACCCGACGTGTCGCAAGGGCAATCCTGCGGCTTTTTCTTATGTGTGTATGTGCTTTGAGTTTATCGCTGCTACATGTCTAGCATGTGAACAGGCTCCGGCTGGAAGGGTCTGTCCATAGCCGTAACGGCCGAGGAGGAATGAAGTGGCCGAGAGGGGAATGGGGTGGGGCTGTGCCCCATCTTCGACTAAAGATCCTGTTCACAGGCTACTATATGTCCGTCTAGCCGTCTCAGTGAAATGTCCCCTTTCGTGAGATTCTCATAATTGTCCCTGCGTTGCCCCTTCGTATGTAGAAGTGTTTTGCTTCACCTCCACGGGGACTCTAACTAAGTTAAGTGTGTCTGGAGAAATAGCTTCGGAAAGCTTCCGATATGGTCGGCATGGCCAGTGTCGCAAATACGACGTTTACCAGGAGCTGCCTTCGCAGATTCTGAATATAAGGGCGGGTGGCCTGAAACCAGCTTGCCTCCAGGCGGCAGATGAGACTCATAACCCTAGCAGTTTAAGCGGCAGAGCCTTTTAGGTGATGGAAACTTAGAGTCCAAACCTGGGTCGATATAACAAATCGAATGTGGTTTAGCGTTGTCTGTACTCTTGTCGACAACGATATGCATCATCACAGTGGTCAAAATATTGTGGACTCACGAGGCTGCGCCTCGTGAGTCCACAAAAAATTTTGACCACTGTGATGACGCATATCGTCGATAAGAGTACAGACAACGCTAAACCACATTTGATTTGTTTTTTACCACAATATCAACGTCAATGTCTTTTCTCAGAGCGTGACAAATAGGCGCGAGCAGCGTTGCCTGGACTCTTATCGACAACGGCAAATTAGCTAATCAGATTGCGAGATTAGTAGCAATTGTGTGATCTATTAGTAGCAATTGTGGTAAGATTCGTTTTCTCTGACAGGCAAACGTCTAAGAGAAGAAGGAAAACGCTGCATGTGCTGATAAAAAAAAAACTAACCATTTCTCCACGTTTTAAGGTCGTACCGACGTCCTAAAATTGTATTAATGGAAACGCTCTAAAATCTATAACAATTCTCGTATTTTTCAGTCGTAGGTTCAGATAGACTACGAGTATTCCCTATTGCTTACGTGGTCCGTCGAGCGAGATGTGAAAAGAAAGCGTGAGAAAGGAATGGTCGCGCAAAATCTGGGGTGACGAGCGCTTTTCGCGCGCGCTTGTGATCAAAGACGACAATTCTGCTAAGCAGCACCACATAGCCCCAGTAGCGTTAATGTTTCGGTAACAGATTCTGTCTTTCAGGCTTCAGTTAAAGTCAACTTTTTGTTTTAGAAGAAGAAACTTCAACTGATTCAATCGATCAACTAACATCAACTTTATTTCAATCTTCTTATGTCTACAAATGATTTTACGTGCGATTACAGTTACGATAAACAGTGAGTAAACAAACTAGCTCCAAAGTGCGGCGGACGGCATCACCCCGCCCCGTAAAAGTAAACCCCGAACAATCTGGGAAACCCCTCGGGACCTTAGTCACCAGCTGACATAAAGTGGCCAAAGCAAACTAATAAGCGATAAGATAAAAATAAAATAAAATAAGAAATCTTTGTTTGATAGAGATGAATATGTTTCTATAACAGTCTAATCACAATCATAGCATTAATGAATTTATTTTGTTACCCTTTCACCCTTGCTTGAAGGACAGTAACAGTGGCTATTGCATTGCTGAAAAGAAATGCCAATTTTGTCGTAAAAATCAAGCGAGTGAAAAATCTATTTGGCTCTACGATCTCATCAAAAATCTTATTTTTAAATCAACTTTAAAGATATATATTGAAATAAAAATGCGTCTTCAAAGGCTAGTTTTCACTAGGGCATAAGCATAAGCAACATGAGCAGATGAAAGGTGATTAATAAGCGCCTTTTGTTAGAAGAATGTTTCGAATAAAAAAGCGCTACTTTATTGCCACGTGGGGGCGCATTGACATCATTGGTTAGTGCGCTCGTCTCCAGATCGAGCGGTCCAAGTTCGAGCCCTGGTCGGAGACATTGTGTTGTGTTCTTGGGCAAGACACTTTACTCTCACAGGTGTATAAATGGATACCACCTGGGTATAACCCTGCGATGGACTAGCATCTCATCCAGGGAGGAGTAAAAATACTCCTAGTCGCTTCATGCAACTAAGCGGAGATAAGCGCTGGTCTGATGGACCACTTGGCTCGTATACAGACTTCACGTCACTTTATGGGCACATTTGTGCTCGTGTGCGTTTGTTGCTTATTATGCTTATACGCTCGTGAACACCAGCCTTGAATTCTACATTCAAGGATGTGCTCGAGCTTGGATACCTGTCACCACTGGTTTAGGGGCATTACAAGTTATTTCAAAATACTTTTCCGCACATACGAACCACACTTGCACAGCATCAAAGTATTTCTCCTTCAGCTTTGATGCGACGACATCAAAAGGCGCCATTTCCTTCCAGCAATGTTTGAATTCGCATGTGCGCTTAGCACCGTAGCAAATGCAGTCAATTTTGGCACTACTTCGAAGAACCTGTTATCCATAAAAGAAAATGACCTGCCATTAATTAACGTTGAAGTTTCGTCATGAATGGATCGTCATTATGGCCACTTTTTTGCCTGAACAGTTTGCTCTTATGTTAGGACGGGACGCACAAAAACGACCTAGAGTTGCGCTGAGACAGTGAATATAATTCAGCTACACAATAATAATTAAAAAACATCTGTGACACATTACCTCTCTTCCTACTTCGTTGTTATGTAGGTTCACTGCCACCAAAGCATCAGGTCCTGTTTCCAGTCTGTCTGTGAAGCGTCCAGCCTCCTTCTCTCCAAACTCGATATTATCACCACACCCCCAAGTAACCACTTCATGTGCGTTATACATTGTTGGCTTCTTGGGACAGTCACACCCGGGTGTCATGTTATGTGTGCACTGATGTGCGATTTCATCGGTGATAGCGGCAGCACTGATGGCGTGAATAAACGCTGTTTCTCGAGTGGCTGCAAGGAAATGGGGAATAATAGAACTATCGACTCATATCAGCGAACATATTTTCCTCGAACAACAGGACAATAATTGAAGAACCATTTTCTCTGGATAAACAATCAGATCCACGAAGTTCTAGTAGAATACAACATTATAAGATGTTCAAAGAATTTCGCTTGCTACGGCTCATTGTATGTCTTAAAACCAAGCGCCAAAACCGTACTGGGAGAATATGGACCTGAGCTCTCTACCACCGACTCGTTCGTATTTTTTTCGTCCTAGCAATCTTTTCCAGGAGTTCAGTTCAGCTGGAGGGCAGCGCGGAAAATGGCGCTCCCAGAAAACAAGGTTAAAGCAGAGATCGGAAGGCGAGAGAATTCCTCCTCGCACAAAGCCCCTCGCTCTCAATTTCCTGGCTCTCGTCTTTTTCTGCGCTGCAACCCAACTGACTGAACACTTGGACGAGGCAACCTTAACCCCATCTGGAGCCTGTTCACGGGCCAAGCACAGCGAGCCCGATTAATTAGGACCGATGGCCCCTGTGTTTTATTGGCTAAACTGAGGCCAAAGTAAAGTAAGCCAAAACTACTGATAGTAAGAAGAAGCTCGTTAAATAAATCGAAAATAAAGTGAACTGAAAAAGACTGCAAAAAGACAATACATCAAACTTACCGTAAGGAAATGTCATGTTATTAAAGATAGGCAACTTCTTGTACATCTCCACTGGACAGCTCCAGCGGTTGCTGTTAAACACTTTCTGGCACTCGGCGAGTCCTCGACGGGCTCCATCTTTCACGATACTCCACAACACAGAATCAACCTGGATAAAACATAAGTTAAAGATAAATTATCTGCATAAACTACGCTTGCGTCGGTTACCTTTAAGCACACATGCCTNAAAGCTGACTTTGGTCAGAAGACCTTCCTGTCGCCCGTCACCACAGACTGTTGTCACAGAGTGTATGTTTTAGCACGTGAACCTTGCAACTTAGCAGTCGAAGAGCAAGCTTTATTTTAGAACTTACGAGCTGTTCTGCGAGATATCAACATTTTACTGTTATGGTTGCTTTGCGATAATCGAAAGGAGAAATATGGACACTGTTTAATTTCATGACAAATGTGTATCTTAAAGACTATTAAAACAAGTGTTAGGCACTAAGAAGAATGTAACTTATTGGTGATAGCGTATCACTCCTGCCTCTGAACAAAACTCAGCTGGAAAGAAGTCCAGAGGAGCATAGAGCTCCCTACACATAAGGGATCGTGTTGCATTGACATGTCGCAGCAACATGCAGCAGCGGCGAAATCCTGTACTGTTCACACGGTGGGAATGGGGCGGAGGGGGGGCGGGGATAGCATCTGTGCAAAATTTTGTCCAGTTATATCCTATTCTCTCAAAAACTCGACACACACCGACCCGACGTGTCGCAAGGGCAATCCTGCGGCTTTTTCTTATGTGTGTATGTGCTTTGAGTTTATCGCTGCTACATGTCTAGCATGTGAACAGGCTCCGGCTGGAAGGGTCTGTCCATAGCCGTAACGGCCGAGGAGGAATGAAGTGGCCGAGAGGGGAATGGGGTGGGGCTGTGCCCCATCTTCGACTAAAGATCCTGTTCACAGGCTACTATATGTCCGTCTAGCCGTCTCAGTGAAATGTCCCCTTTCGTGAGATTCTCATAATTGTCCCTGCGTTGCCCCTTCGTATGTAGAAGTGTTTTGCTTCACCTCCACGGGGACTCTAACTAAGTTAAGTGTGTCTGGAGAAATAGCTTCGGAAAGCTTCCGATATGGTCGGCATGGCCAGTGTCGCAAATACGACGTTTACCAGGAGCTGCCTTCGCAGATTCTGAATATAAGGGCGGGTGGCCTGAAACCAGCTTGCCTCCAGGCGGCAGATGAGACTCATAACCCTAGCAGTTTAAGCGGCAGAGCCTTTTAGGTGATGGAAACTTAGAGTCCAAACCTGGGTCGATATAACAAATCGAATGTGGTTTAGCGTTGTCTGTACTCTTGTCGACAACGATATGCATCATCACAGTGGTCAAAATATTGTGGACTCACGAGGCTGCGCCTCGTGAGTCCACAAAAAATTTTGACCACTGTGATGACGCATATCGTCGATAAGAGTACAGACAACGCTAAACCACATTTGATTTGTTTTTTACCACAATATCAACGTCAATGTCTTTTCTCAGAGCGTGACAAATAGGCGCGAGCAGCGTTGCCTGGACTCTTATCGACAACGGCAAATTAGCTAATCAGATTGCGAGATTAGTAGCAATTGTGTGATCTATTAGTAGCAATTGTGGTAAGATTCGTTTTCTCTGACAGGCAAACGTCTAAGAGAAGAAGGAAAACGCTGCATGTGCTGATAAAAAAAAAACTAACCATTTCTCCACGTTTTAAGGTCGTACCGACGTCCTAAAATTGTATTAATGGAAACGCTCTAAAATCTATAACAATTCTCGTATTTTTCAGTCGTAGGTTCAGATAGACTACGAGTATTCCCTATTGCTTACGTGGTCCGTCGAGCGAGATGTGAAAAGAAAGCGTGAGAAAGGAATGGTCGCGCAAAATCTGGGGTGACGAGCGCTTTTCGCGCGCGCTTGTGATCAAAGACGACAATTCTGCTAAGCAGCACCACATAGCCCCAGTAGCGTTAATGTTTCGGTAACAGATTCTGTCTTTCAGGCTTCAGTTAAAGTCAACTTTTTGTTTTAGAAGAAGAAACTTCAACTGATTCAATCGATCAACTAACATCAACTTTATTTCAATCTTCTTATGTCTACAAATGATTTTACGTGCGATTACAGTTACGATAAACAGTGAGTAAACAAACTAGCTCCAAAGTGCGGCGGACGGCATCACCCCGCCCCGTAAAAGTAAACCCCGAACAATCTGGGAAACCCCTCGGGACCTTAGTCACCAGCTGACATAAAGTGGCCAAAGCAAACTAATAAGCGATAAGATAAAAATAAAATAAAATAAGAAATCTTTGTTTGATAGAGATGAATATGTTTCTATAACAGTCTAATCACAATCATAGCATTAATGAATTTATTTTGTTACCCTTTCACCCTTGCTTGAAGGACAGTAACAGTGGCTATTGCATTGCTGAAAAGAAATGCCAATTTTGTCGTAAAAATCAAGCGAGTAAAAAATCTATTTGGCTCTACGATCTCATCAAAAATCTTATTTTTAAATCATCTTTAAAGATATATATTGAAATAAAAATGTGTCTTCAAAGGCTAGTTTTCACTAGGGCATAAGCATAAGCAACATGAGCAGATGAAAGATGATTAATGAGCGCCTTTTGTTAGAAGAATGTTTCGAATAAAAAAGCGCTACTTTATTGCCACGTGGGGGCGCATTGACATCATTGGTTAGTGCGCTCGTCTCCAGATCGAGCGGTCCAAGTTCGAGCCCTGGTCGGAGACATTGTGTTGTGTTCTTGGGCAAGACACTTTACTCTCACAGGTGTATAAATGGATACCACCTGGGTATAACCCTGCGATGGACTAGCATCTCATCCAGGGAGGAGTAAAAATACTCCTAGTCGCTTCATGCAACTAAGCGGAGATAAGCGCTGGTCTGATGGACCACTTGGCTCGTATACAGACTTCACGTCACTTTATGGGCACATTTGTGCTCGTGTGCGTTTGTTGCTTATTATGCTTATACGCTCGTGAACACCAGCCTTGAATTCTACATTCAAGGATGTGCTCGAGCTTGGATACCTGTCACCACTGGTTTAGGGGCATTACAAGTTATTTCAAAATACTTTTCCGCACATTTCTCGCATTCAACTCTGCAGCAGTAAATAAATTTACACTTGCAATCAACCTGCTTGTAACGCTCCACCTTATCAACTCTCAAGTTACAATCACGTTTACAGAGAAGACTGAATACTTCACATTTGTCCTTGGCCACATCGCTTCTGCACGATTGTCCCAGCATTCCAGGGTAGCCCAGAGTGTCGTTTCGTTCGCAGGGGTGTGGGGAGGGGTGGAGATAAACTAGCCTGTCGCCCTTATATTTAGAGACTGGTTGGAACTGATCGCCCACTCGCTCTTGAAGCTTGTTGTCTACGAACCACACTTGCACAGCATCAAAGTATTTCTCCTTCAGCTTTGATGCGACGACATCAAAAGGCGCCATTTCCTTCCAGCAATGTTTGAATTCGCATGTGCGCTTAGCACCGTAGCAAATGCAGTCAATTTTGGCACTACTTCGAAGAACCTGTTATCCATAAAAGAAAATGACCTGCCATTAATTAACGTTGAAGTTTCGTCATGAATGGATCGTCATTGTGGCCACTTTTTTGCCTGAACAGTTTGCTTTTATGTTAGGGCGGTACGCACAAAAACAACTGAAAGTTGCGCTGAGACAGTGAATATAATCCAGCTACATTATAATGATTAAAAAAAAAAATCTGTGATACGTTACCTCTCTTCCTACTCTGTTGTTGTGTCGGTTCACTGCCACCAAAGCATCAGGTCCTGTTTCCAGTCTGTCTGTGAAGCGCACAGTCTCCCTCTCTCCAAATTCGATATTATCACTACACCCCCAAGTAACCACTTCATGTGCGTTATATATTGTTGGCTTCTTGGGACAGCTGTCACACCCGGGTGTCATGTTATGTCTGCACTGATGTGCGATTTCGTCGGTGATAGCGGCAGCACTGATGGCGTGAATAACCGCTGTTTCTCGAGTGGCTGCAAGAAAATGGCGAATAATAGAACTACCGAGTCATATCAGCGAACATATTTTCCCTTAACAACAGGACAATAATTGAAGAACCATTTTCTCTGGAGGAGCAATCAGATCCACGAAGTTCTAGTAGAATACAACTTTACAAGATGTTCAAAGAATTTCGCTCGCTACGGTTCATTGTATGTCTTAAAAACCAAGCGCGAAAACCGTACTGGGAGAATATGGGTCTAAGCTCTCTACCACCGCTCGCTCGTATTTTTTTCGCCCTAGTAATCTTTTCCAGGAGTTCAGTTCAGTTGGAGCGCAAAGCAGAGAGCGGAAGGCGAGAGAACTCCTCCTCGCACAAAGGCCCCCGATCTCAATTTCCTGGCTCTCGTCGTTTTCTGCGCTGCAACCCAACTGACTGAACACTTGGACGAGGCAACCTATAACCTCATCTGGAGCCTGTTCACGGGCTAAGCAGAGCGAGCCCGACTAATGAGGACTGATGGCCCCTCTGTTTTGTTGGCTAAAGGCCAAAGTAAAATGAGCCAAAGCTACTAATAGTAAGAGGAAACTCGTTAAATAAATCGAAAATAAAGTGAACTGAAACATATATAAAAGTATTATTATACATGACAGTTTTACTAGTAAAAAATGCTGCAAAAAGACAATACATCAGACTTACCGTAAGGAAATGTCTTGTTATTAAAGATAGGCAACTTCTTGTACATCTCCACTGGGCAGCTCCAGCGGTTGCTGTTAAACACTTTTTGGCACTCGGCGAGTCCTCGACGGGCTCCATCTTCAACGATACTCCACAACACAGAATCAACCTGGATAAAACATAAGTTAAAGATAAATTATCTGCATAAAATACGCTTGCGTCGGTTACCTTTAAGCACACATGCCTAGACAACGACTCCTTCTCGGAATCAGGAATACGAAATGTTAACAGTATTGCATACCTCTTGTGGTAGAGTGATCTCTAAACCTGCACTACCGGTACTGTTAGTTCTGGGGAGAAAATGATAGTTAATTATTCTAATGAACAAAATTCTGAACTTTTCAGTGGTTTAGCTATGCTTTACATTCTTGCTCCGAGCTCTCGTCTGGAATAATTTTTAGGTCAATAAATATTGGCTATTGACCAAGCGTGAGGTAAGTAAGAATGGCTCGATGCAGGACAAGTTCCCCATGTGTGTCTTTGTGGACTGAGACGCGGCCGAGATCCATGAACACGCAAAAGGAACTTCTGAGTAAACGAACAGGAAAATTTGCACTTGGACCAAACAACAGGCATAATTCCGATGAAATTGTAAACCGTTTTACAGGGGGTACATCTTGGGTCATGAAATGCAAGACGAGCAAGGCTAAGTACGCGACTTGGTTATATAAATATCTCAAATCTGTGTCGTCAAAGACCATTTAAAACCAATGAAAGCCTAAGAATTGCGCAGCTCAATGACTAGGATGTGTTTTGAGTCTCCTAATTTACAAGGGACTAGAGTAGGACGCTGATCTCTCGATAACTGTTCACCTAAAATACTGAAAATAAATTGCTGTTCTTTTTTGTTATTGTTTCGTCATCCTATTAGCTATTTTGCGCACTACACGTACCAGGGCAGCATTCAGTACCTATCAGGTAAATTAGTTATTAATCAAAGAGGGCGCCGAAACGGTAAATGTGTTNCAAGTTCCCTACGCGTGTCTTTGTGGACGGAGAGGCAGCCGAGATCAATGAGCACGCAAAAAGAACTTCTGAGCAAACGAACATGAAAATTTGCACTTGGACTAAACAACAGGCTTAATTCCCGGTGAAATTGTAAACCCTTTTACAGAGGGTACGTCTTGGGTCATGTAATGCAAGCTCCATGCAAGCTTAATTTACAAGGGACTGGAGTGGGACGCAAAAGGGCGGGAGCTGGGAGATAACGATAGGGGAAGTGGGAGGTTCTGACCCCCAGTCCAGCCCCCTCCCTCCCCCGACCCCATGGATTTGATTCATTGCCAAGGATGATTTTGCCCGCTCGCGGAGCTATAAACCATCGCTCTTATTCGGGGCGGGGTATAGCTCTTGAGTGGTGCTTTTTTGAATAAAGGCACTTACAAAAACACGTTCAAATTGGGGGAAATTTGGGGTTTTCATTTGAAGGAGGTAAAATCGACTCGTGGCGCTCCATATTTATCAGTAAAGTCATCAATATCTGCCATTATTATTTCCCGGCTTAGTTCAAGTTTTATCAGAACAATATTCACTGAGTTGCGTTGAGTTTGAAATCTTTATAAACGCAACATATAGTTATTAATCCAACATAGAACAACATGGCGCCGATCTCTCGTTAACTGTTCACCTAAAATACTGAAAATAAATTGTTGTTCTTTATTGCGCACTATACGTACCAGGGCAGCATTCAGTACCTATTAGGTAAATTAGTTAGTAATCCAACTTGAAGAGGGCGCCGAAACGGTAAATGTGTTATTGAAAAGTCAGTCAATTGCATATAAACCTACTTTGTGTGGTTGCAGGTTGGTTGAGGCCTCCTCGGCTGTTCCATTGGCGTTAATGGACCGCATGAGTCTCCCAGCTGAACGTTCCACAAACCGACGAAAAGCAAGAAAAACGCCGTGAATAACTTCATTTGTTGCTGTGTTAGTTTGTGACAAGACCTTCAACGAGAGAGTTCCGTGGTCTGGAGAGGTGCGACGTTAGCTGCAAATAATATACTGAGAAACTTGAAAGTTTGCCAACTGAAAAACAATCACAACTAAGAAACCAGACACAATGGAAGGCAAAGATCATGCTCGGTCAAACAAGGTGAACCTTAGTGATAATAGTATCTTTCACGAACTGAAAGATAAATATTACGTTCCCATCCGATCCTTTTTTTGTCAAAACTGTACGGCCGGAAATTCCTCAATGGTCTTTAATGGATTGAAGAGCCATTGTGCTCGGGCAAAGAAGGTGAACCTTTTTGATGATAGTATCTTTCACGAACTGAAAAAGAAAAACATTACGTTCCCATCCGATAAATTTTTGTCAAAACTGTGTGTCCGGAAGTTCGTCAATGGATTGAAGAGCGATAAGTCTGCTAAAGTGTAATCCTTATTTAAAAGTAGAAAGGAATGGAGGGTCACTTAATTAAAGTTTAAATCGTTAATTAGGGAGGCGAGACTTAAGCTAATCTTTCGTCACTGAGAAAGAACAGAAGTTCAGAATAACAACAAGACGCTTTAATGAGAAACATAACTGGGTTGTCAACGGGGGGCCGAGGGGGATTACTTGGGTATGTACGTGCTCGGCTGGCCTCTGAGAACAATTACCCCCGTTATTGTCTATTCTGTGACTAATTAAGAACCCATCTAATAGGGTGGCTGTTTAAACAAGGACCCGCGCTATATAAGGAGCCTTGGACTGGGCGAGCAGTCAGTCATTTCACTCTAGACACGGAGCTGTCAATATCTCCGGGTCGCGCGATACGCACGGAGGTCTCATATCTGCTACTAGTGCTGCGCACAGTGCTTACAAGACTAATAAAGGCTGTCATTCCGTAACTATTTTTTTTAAATCGAANAGCTGAACGTTCCACAAACCGACGAAAAGCAAGAAAAACGCCGTGAATAACTTCATTTGTTGCTGTGTTAGTTTGTGGCAAGACCTTCAACGACAGAGTTCCGTGGTCTGGAGAGGTGCGACGATAGCGGCAAATAATATACTGAGAAACTTGAAACTTTGCCAACTGAAAAAAAATCAGAACTAAGAAACCAGACACAATGGAAGGCAAAGATCATGCTCGGTCAAACAAGATGAACCTTGGTGATAATAGTATCTTTCACGAACTGAAAGATAAATATCACGTTCCCATCCAATCCTTTTTTGTCAAAACTGTACGGCCGGAAATTCCTCAATGGTCTTTAATGGATTGAAGAGCCATTGTGCTCGGTGAAAGAAGGTGAACCTTTGTGATGATAGTATCTTTCATGAACTGAAAGATAAATATCACGTTCCCATACAATCCTCTTTTGTCAAAACTATGTGTAAGGGGGTCACTTAATTGCCAGGGCTAATTGCTAATGAGGAAGACAAGACTGACGCTAATCTTTCGTCACTGAGAAAGAACAGAAATTCAGAATTAAACGAGACGCTTTAAGAAACATCACTGGGTTGTCAATTACTTGGGTATGTACGTGCTCAGCTGGCCTCTCAGAACAATTACCCCATTATAATCAATTCTGTAACCAATTATAGAACCCATTTAATTTTCGTGATCCCATGCAACTTGTTTAACTAATTCATCGTAAAATGAAGTGACACATTTGTTTAACTGAATGTGGAACGGTAAAGACTTTTCACCATTAATCTTTCCATTTTCAAATCCCTACTTTTCAGAACTTTCTTATCCCCGAAATCCTCAAAATGTGCAACCTCTTGTAGTAACTCTATCGAAAAAGCAACCCAATCCACTCGTGAAAATGCGATCCCATCCAGAGATAATCAATCCACTCATGAAAATGCGACCCCATCTAGTGGCCCATCCCCATTAGCTCATTACTAGGAAGTACCCCCGGTGGTTCTCTTTAGAACGCTGATAATTCAGGAAAAAAGAATAACCCATGAAAACAAATAACTTGGTGAGCAAATGGCATCACCTTCACTTGAAAGATCTCACTAACGACTTGTCTGATTTTAGCACGACTTTGACTTTAACACTTGGAGCCCAGCGTTTCAGCACATACCTGGATCATATACCTTAAAATTCCGAAAGTAACGATCTTCGTTACCTTCGAAATTAGCTGCACTTGGGGCTAGTTACTGTCGGGGGCTCGTTATTCTCAAGGGGTCGTTTCTTTCGCGGAGAAAAAAGCATTTTACATATATTTTGCTGGTGCGACGAAGCCTCTTTTTCGTGAAATAATTGATGGAAAATAGAAAAGTAGTTCTTAAATTATGCTCTTCATGTCTATACCGTGTTGTCAGTGGTCGGCAGCAAAGCAAGTCAGATACCATAAACTGTTTCTACATCATATGACACAATGCTATGTCATTCTGCTGTATATCAAACCCCGGCAGGTGGCCGTTTAATTAATAGGCGTTGGTCGGTTGATAGGGTTAGTGTACTTTGAATATATTTTACCACTGGGTTTTAAAATTCTTAATGAACTTGGAATTACGTCAAGACAATCAGGATAAACGCGTATTTTTTATCAGTAGTCAATTTCTAATTCGGACGTTTGTCGTCATCGGCTTTTCGAAAACAAAACTAAACTACCTATATTTTAAAATTTTGGGTGGCTGTTAAATGGGGGTAAAGACAATAGGAAAACGTTCGTCGGGATGACCAAAAGGTGGCCGCGGTCGCTTTATAGAGGCGGCTGGTTAATAGGGGTTTTACTTGCAATATATTACTGACAATAATATCGGGACTTTGATAACTGGCCGCTTAGTAGGGGGTGGCCGCTTAATAGTTGGCAGCGTAATAGAGGTTCGACTCCGGAGGTAAGACTGTATGCAAGCAAGAGATAACGAAACTACAACTAGAATAAACGTTAGAAAGGTAGGCTGGGTAAAAAATGAAAACAGTTAAGGCTCCGTGATTTGAGTCACCCAGCTTGACAACTTTGGTAATACTCATTACTGCTTGAGTGGAGGTGCGTTGGCCTAATGGGTAGTGCGCTAGACTCTGGATCGAGTGGCGAGGGTTTGAGCTCAGGCCGGGGTAACATGGCTGTGTTCTTGGGCAAGATAGTTTACTGTCATAGTGCTCTCTCTACTCAGGTGTTTGGATTGGTACCGACGAGTTAATGCGTTAGTCGAGTTTTCAGCCTCACTGTGCACGGTCACGTAACGCCACGACCTCGGGAGTGCTTACCATTACCTGGCAAGGAGAGAGCCGAAAAACAACACGTACCGATTTTCAATGCATAAATAAAGTGTAACTTGTCCCTGTGTCATCTTTACTCTACGACATTTCTCGTTTCAGGGCACTATCACTAATATTCTGGAAGAGAACGTTCTTCAACCACTGCTTGTGTCAACCAGTGCCATTCAGTTGGCCTCCGAGACTGTCCGTAGTATTCTGAAGATCGATGACATCGTAAGTACAAGCACACCCTCCCCCTGTCCCCCCTTCCCTACCCCCCTCCCCTCCACCCCTAGAAACAGACCCTCGCTTTTCGACTTGGTCGGCGAGTGCCCTAACCCAATAGCAGTGGCAAATTCGTTTTAAGTACTATACAGTCAATAAATAATGCCTCATTCGTTGATTCGTTGATTGTGAATTATGGGCAAACTCCTTACTGTTTTATTCTTAAGTTGTTAAAGTTTCTCAAGCTAGAACAAATCTTTTTTTTTGTACTAGAACAACTTGGTTATGTGATTTTCTTTTACAGGTAAATACAAGATGAAGCTTGGAGGAAAGCTGACTTTGGTCAGAAGGCCTTCCTGTCGCCCGTCACCACAGACTGTTGTCACAGAGTGTATGTTTTAGCACGCGAACCGTACCACTTAGCAGTCGAAGAGCGAGCTTTATTTCAGAACTTACGAGCTGTTCTGGGAGATATCAACATTTTACTGTTATAGTTGCTTCGCGATAATCGAAAGGAGAAATGTGGACACTGTTCAATTTCACGAGAAATGTGTATCTTAAAGACTATTAAAACAAACGTTAATCACTACACAAGAATGCAATTTATTGGTGAAAGCGTATCAATGCTGCCCCTGAACAGGACTCGGCTGTAAAGAAGTCCAAAGGAACGTAGAGTTCCCTACGCGTGAGAGAGACGTGTCACAGCAACACCCAACAGCGACCAAATCATTTGCTGTTCACACGAGAGGGGAGGGGCCGGAGGGGGGAGACTCCCATATAAAAAGGACGGGGGGGGGGGGNGCACTCTGCCAGCACGGAAAGCATTGTCGGAGTTACTTCCTCGTACGGCACCCTTGTCTAAGAACATTTCTATACCACAAGGAGAGCACCCGGGGGGAGGGGACTCCCATATCAATGCTAGTCAGAAATTTTGGAAAAAATCCCTGAGAGGTAACAAGATCCTGTTTTGTGGGCGTGGCTTGAAATTTTTTTCACCCCTAAGAGATACCAATTCTAAAACAAAACATTATCGCCTGTCAAATTTTCTTCGGCTCAGTACCCGAACAGGTACCGCGAAAGCTCCCCCCGGTGGACCTTTTGAGGCTGAACACGCTAAGAGATACCAAATCCGCTTTTTTAACTCCTACAACGAGCTCCCTCGTCCTTTTAACATGGGAGCCGCCCGGGGGAGTGGGGGACATCGCATCCGTGCAAAATTTTGTCCACAATATTTCCTACGAGGTTCGACGAGTTACACACTGTGCTACAAGCAGTACAAGTAGCGAGGACAACCTTCGCAAAACCTCGACACACATACACGGACCGGACGCGTCGCAAGAGTATGTATCTTGGGCGTTACCCCGCGGCTTTTCCTTATGTGTGTATGTGCTTCGATTTTGTCGCTGCTACATGTCCCGCCACGCGCCTCGGTGAAATGTCCCCTTTTGTGAACTTTTCATGATATTGTCGCTGCATTGTCCCTTCGTGTGTAAGCACCTTACGAGCTATGGACGGGCCTAGAACAAAAACATAAAGACTGTACTAAGCAGGGGAGATGAGCCCGCAAAACGTTTCACTTCCCCATGTGGGGCCTCTAAATTGGTTAGTTATGGACGCAGAAATGGCCTTGTTCTTGGCAAGTGATCCAAATAACATGCTTACCAGAAGCTGCCTTTGCAGATTCTGAATGTAATGGCGGGTGGACTGAATGTAAAACCAGCTAGCCCTAGCAGTGAGATAGGGGGAGCCTTTTAGGTGACGGAAACTCGGAGTCC